CCAAAGCCTTGGTGAGCAACCCAGCACGGCAGTCGATGGTTTGTAAGTTCAAGACACAAATGAAGACGTCAGTGCGTAGGTGTCCAGACAAATGGGTCTGTGGGTATTAACTCATAATAAAAATCGTTGAATATTTTTACCCAATAAACTACTCAGCAAATATTACTGAAGCACATGATTAAGAAGTCTCCTTTCCTACCAGCTCTAAATGAGATACAAGCCTTCGGGTGTTTAGACGACAAATAATGCAGGTATAAGAATTTGCAAATCCTGTACAGAGTATGTGGAGTCCACTGGCTGTAGACATTCATCCACAATCTGGAGTTGTGCAGCCTGAAATAAACACAGCTGTGTTTATCTGAATGTGTGATCCCATGTACATGGGAGAAAGTTCAAATAAATGCACTCTGTGCGACGATGCTGTAAATGCAGCAACTGCATTTGTCAGATGTGTGATGATGCAATCTCTTAAATAAACAGAATGAGCTGTTTGTTTGAATTCTGAGCTGCAGAGACTTAAAAATATATGTACATTAATCAAAGCCAATAAAATGAAATTCAAAACAGCTACAAGATCTTAACTGAACCTTAGCTGAAAATTCGCTTCTTGTCCTTATATCCAGAATGAAGTTCTGTTGGTATGAAGGGTATGGCGCAATTTTTAGACAGTAAGAGATTAAGGGAATAGATAACCATCAGTTTTGGGTTAGTGGACCACTCTTGTTTTTCCTAAGAGAGCCCATTGTCTAAGACCAACTCTAGAAATTCATAGAATTTTAGAATGGGTTGGGTCAGAAGGGACCTTAAAGATCATCTCCTTTCAGCCATCTTCCACTAGACCAGCTGACTCCAAGCCCTGTCCAACCTCACCTAGAACACTTCTGGGGATCCACAACTTCTCTGGACACCCCCTAGGAGTACCTCACCACCCTCTGAATAAAGAATTTCTTCCTAAGAAAAAGAAATGGTGGGATATCCCCGATTTTTCATATTATCAACCAAAGCCATAGCTCTATTTTACAGTCAAAATATATTTATTTGGGATGTGTGACCTGCTCAGTTCTCAAAACAACCAATAGTCTGAGGGATAAGTTCCTGATGAGCTGAAGAATATGTGAAGGAAAAAGAAAAACTGAATGAATGTAGATGCTATCAAAGCTGTTGTTTTACTCAGAGTTAACACTGGCTCAGCGTTTCACTATAAACTCATTCAGAACAGTAAGTTACTGGAAAAAATCCTCCACTTGAGAAATATGCAATAGTTAGTGATGAGTCAGAAGTTGGAAGTAGTGACACCACCACACACTATTAAAAAGTCCTACTTTCCAATACTGTCTGACTGCTCTGCAACCCAAAATAACATCACAGCAGAAGCACTGTAAAGCTTTTTTCATTTGTCTTAAGCATATTCCCTTGGAAAGCATGAGCTGTGCAAATGGTCTTAAGAATGTTTACTGTGGAATTAGACCATCAAATTTCTTGACTTATGTGCTTTAAAATCTTGCCCAAAAGATGGCACTAACATTGTTTTTAGTAACATATATTGGATATAGATTTAATTCTTCCCCCATGTAAAAAGCATCTTCAAACTGGTCACAAATATATGTTGGAAGAATGTGCTTAATGCGCAGTACTATGCCAGCTGACAATTGCAGTATAGG